CAAGCAGTTGTAACAACCAAAATCATCTCGAAATTGGCTCTAGTTGTGGCCAGATGCCTGCAGGAGGCAAAACTGCCCCAGGTTGAAAACCAGTGACTTACGGCAAGGGAGTACCTGACTCCTGCTATTTGACACAGATTTTCTTCAGAAGAAAAGAGATTCAGTAGCACAAGCCATGAAAACTTCCTATTTCTAAGGCTATAATTTTCCCATATTTGCCCGTGGTGATAACAGTACAACAGAGTAGGAGAGAAAAATGAGTCGAGTACTTGTCATCAAGGCAGCAAGGAACAAAAGGCTTAGGAAACATGACCCACTGCACTTGGGGTAAGACCCAAAACCTTAACTGGAGATTAACTGGGCAACGTCAGGGCCACTGAAGGGGGGGGGGGGGGGGGGCAGTTCGAAGGCCAAAAAGGAAAAGAGAGCTGGCGCCCAGATGCTCCCAAGACTCACCTCTGAAAGCAGGGCCCTGATCAGCGGCCAACTTCCTACTCAAAAAGGTCACCCTCCCAAAACTTCACAGAAAGAGCAGAGGAGGAAGAAAAGATCACAAAGGTAGAACACATCAGTATTTTCAAATGCTTTACTCTCCTCCTCCAGAAATTCCTAAACTGACCTCTGAATCTCTTTCATCTAAAAAAAAAAAAAAAGGCAGGGGGTGGATCTTCAGTGGATTACTTGAGAACCATCTGACCTCTCAATCCCAATCAAGTGTAACATGAGTAACTAGGGCACTCCACAAAAGCCAGCCATGGAGAGATTTGGGGATCCCCAGGGAGGAAGTCACTTTCATTCTTAAATTTCCTCTGTAGGAACAAGGAAGTTCTCCGAAACTTCAACTGTGCTCTCATTTTTATTTTGTAAACCATATAGTATTTGCCATTTAAGACCTTCACAATTAATTTTGAAAAACTCTCAAGAAGTAACAATAACCTTTTCCCTAAAAAGAAAGATGATACAAGTAGAAACCAAAAAGGTAACGAAACAGAATGAAAAGGACTCTGAGCTAAGGAATCTGATGTTTTTTCAGTGTTTTTACAGGTTCAAACGACAGCGATGTAACCAAAAGGTCAGATTTTTCAGTGGCTCCTGATCCTATTTCCCGAACTCACTAGAAATAACCACAGATGTCTTCTACAACAGGGCTGCATCATTCTGTACATTAGGAAATTTTTAAGAGGAAGAATGACTCTACATAAATAGCACATAGGAAATTATCTCTGTAGGTATTCACTGAAAACGCAACAAAGGACGCTGGCTGAGAGATGGCTGTGCTGACCAGCAAGTGCAAAGACAGAATGGAATGTACAAGTCCATGCAGCACATAAATAATCAACAAAATACCCCCATGGTAAAGCCTGTGGTGGCAGGAAAGACTACACCTTAAATGATTTTTCTTTTCTTTTCTTTTTTAATGTTTATTTACTTTTGAAAGAGAGAGAGAGAGAGCGCACGCACGCGCGAGCGAGTGGGGGAGGGGCAGAGAGAGAGGGAGACACAGAATCCGAAGCAGGCTCCAGGCTCTGAGCTGTCAGCACAGAGCCCATCGTGGGCCTTGAACTCAGGAACCACGAGATCATGACCTGAGCCGAAGTTGGATGCTTAAATGACTGAGCCATCTAGGTGCCCCTTAATTCTTTTAATTCTCTTTTTTGAGATAGAGATAGTGTGCAAGCAGGGGAGAGACAAAGAGAGAGGGAGAGAGAGAATCCAAGCAGGCTCTGCACTGTCATCAAATTGCCCAATGCGGGGTTCAAACTCATGAACCTTGAGATCATGACCTGAGCCGAAATCAAGAGTCAGACGCTAACCGACTGAGCCACCCAGGTGCCCCTACACACCTTGAATGATTAACCTGTTCTATAATATCTGTCACCAAAGAGGCCAAGATGGTGTGATAAAACAACAACAAAAAACAAACAAAAAAGAAACAACAAAAACATTGGCTTGAGAACTGAGGGATGAGTGTGAGTCCCAATGTGGGTCCCAACACCTCTCTTGGCCTCAATGTCCACATGTGGAAAACGAACTAGGGTGTGAACTAGTCCCTGACAGTTTCATCTGATTCATTTACTCACTCACTCACTCATTCATTCATTCATCAAATATTTGTTGAGCCACAGATGTCAAGGACTATTTCAGGTGCTAGGGAAGAACACTGATCCCAAAAGGCTAACATCCCTAATGGAACTTAGATCCAGATTCTGAAAATTATACATCAGCTTTTCAAACCATGGGCTGTGAAATCCATTTAGCAGTACCAAATGAATATTTTAAAAATAAGAAATGGAATAGGATAAAATATCAGAGGATATCACAAACAGTAAAGTTCTGTTTTCACAGAGTTCTGCTTTAGTTATTGATATTTGTATTTACAAGGTTTGTGGGTCAAGAAGTATAAGATGTTCTGAATGTGGGTTGGTTGTATCAGAGTTTAAACATCCCTAATAAAAGACCTCTCTCTCTTTGTTCCAGCCACTGGCCCTCATCCTATCCCCCACCCAGACTGCTTCTTAGGAACATTCTGCCCATAGATGAAATCTCATTACTTTCTCACTTGCCCCATCATGGCTTGGATAAATATCAAAGAATATGTTTTTCAGATCAGCGTTCCCAACCTTTCTGAGTAGGATTCCTTTTACCATCAGTCCCTTTTGTGCACTACTTGTTTGCTGATTAAGAAAATACACAGTACAGGGCGCCTGGCAGCGGGGGGGGGGGGGGGGGGGGGGGGTGGAGATAGTCAGTTAAGCATCCCACTCTTGGTTTCAGCTCAGGTCATGATCTCATGGTTCAGGAGGTGCGATCGTCTCGCTGCAGCCTGCCCAGGATTCTCTCTCTCACCCTCTCTCTCTGCCAGTCCCCCACTGGCACTTTCTCTCTCTCTCTCAAAAAAGAAACAAGAAAGAAAGAAAGAAAGAAAGGAAGAAAGAAAAAGAAAGAAAGAAAGGAAGGAAGGAAGAAAGGAAGGAAGGAAGGAAGGAAGGAAGGAAGGAAGGAAGGAAGGAAGGAAGAAAGGAAAATGCAGAGTGACCAAAAGCCACGTGAACTTTTAAATGTATTTATAATGTATCTTTCCTAAAAGCTCCTGCATAGAAATACAAAGAGTACAAATGCACCCAAGACATAGTATTCTTTCCATCTATGCCTCATGCTTGATGTTCAAACAGATTTGCAGGCTTCTTGTGCCCTGAGGGGTCCAGGGCACAGAGACTACTGATTACTGTTCTAGATCCTCTTTTACATGGTTATTTTAGAATCACCATGTTCTTACTAAATGACTGCTTAGGGTGGTTTCTGTTTGTTTTAATGCTTTCTCCCCCTCCTTTTTTCCAATTAAAGAAAACTACTAAACTTGAAAACTAGTGGGTACATGAGTTTGTTTTTAGTTTTCGTTGTTCACTTGTCTTTTCTTTTCATATATAATTTTGTTTTTAATATCATGAGCCCAGACTCCTATAGACGGCGACTAAGAATTGGGAAGGCAATTGTTTGAAATTTGCCGAGACACATATTCAGTGTTCCTAACTGCTTTATTTTTAACAGCAAATATCCAAAGGCAGCAATTACTGCAACTGGGGAAAGTGAAAGGTGGTAAAAGATGCCAGGAGAGAAAAGAACTAAAATATGCCGGGTAAATCCTCCCAGGAATCTCAAACCCATGCATACCGATCGCCAAGATCTACTTGAAGTCACGTAACTACAGCCCTGACTCCCCATAGCCCTCTGTCACTTGGGCTTTACTCTGTCATCGAGCTTGAACTTCCTACTCTGTGCTGCTCTTGAAGCATTTTCTGTAATAGGATTTAGAAGTTAGGATGGACAATGCCATCCTTTTAGGGGCTAGGATCTCCTATATTGCAAAGGTCCAAGGTTGGCCACAGGGGTAGGGGAAACGGAGCGGGGGAGAGGGCTTCCCGGCAATCTGACACCCCCGGCAGACGTCCAACAGCTGCCTCCCAGTCCCTAACTTCCAGAAACCAGCGTTAACTTATTATCTTCAACATTTCCCTTCCTGGAAATCCAAACTACACCCCACAGGTGGCCATGGCTGCAACCAACAGAGGAATGTCGTTTCAGCACGTGCTCTGCTGTTAGCAACTATACAACTCAAAATACTTACAACTAGGTTTCCTGCTGTACCCTTTACCACTTCGTTCTCAACTACCCACTTCTTAGGCTTACAAAGGGCAAAGTATGACCTTGTCTTCATTAATAAGGAAAAAAATTAACTTTCTAGGAAAATCTGCTCACTTCTCTGGCGAGTTAGTTTTACAGAAAAGGTCGTTCAGTGATGTCTAAACTTTAGCTGCAAAATGAGAGAAGTGACCTGGACGGTGTGGTAGGGCTGCGTCCAGCCTTGGGCTGATAAACTAAGATTCTCCCTGCCGGTACCTGGCTTTCAAATCAATGTCATAGGGGCACATGTCAAGGAGTGACTGCTTCCAAAGGTACAACAAGAGTGAATTCTTAAAAAAAAAAAAAAAAAAAAAAAAAAAAAAAAAAAAATCTCTTGTCTAGATATTTCTGTATGTTGCTCTCAGTATTCCAGAACAAAATCCAGGACAGCCACTAACAGGACCTGAAATGTAGTCTTAAGCCTCATCTTAACAAAGACAAAATCAGGGTGCATCCTCATAATTTACATACAGATGACCACAAGCAAAGACCTTCAGATTCTCCCTTTTTTGTTATTTATCAGCTCCATGAACTCACTGTGATCAGAAGAACTCGAATGTTCATATAAATAGTATGACCCTTAAAGTCAAAGTTCCTACTTTACATATAAATAAATATATTCTAAATATTTAATGAGCCATCTAGCGCTGCATGAAATCTACGACAGATTTGTTAACTTAGTTTCAACACAGTTTCAACACAGCAACGCCGTGGTACATCTTTACCCTAATAATTTTAAAGCCAAGCAAACCGAGCAAACCTCAAGTTGTGTCCAGGTTTAATGACAGCACATTTAACTTTGGAAAATTAATAGTTACCAGACTTCTGCAGAGTAGGTGATCCGGATGGAGACGAGTTTCCACTAGGAGACAAGTAGAGGTAGTTTTTGTTCACTCCTGTGTCAAAGTCAAACGGGGACTGGTAGTCTTCATAAAAATCCATCTCTCTACAGTCCGTTCCAGACAAAGGCAGAACGCATGGTTTTATGACCGTCTGATATGCTTCAGGTGAGTGTGGCTCTGGTCACATCGCCATGTGCAACCTTGCTGAAGAAATCAACCCCAGGGCTTGAAGAGCCTGGCTTCCTGGCCCAGGTGTGGCATTTCTTTCTCAAAGCCCTCACACCCTCAGGACAAGCAGGCCTGTTTAATAAATGACTTATCTCAAGCAACCTTAGGGCTCTTCACCACCTGCTGTTAATTTCAGTCAACAAAGAAACAACCAGCACAGGGGAGCGGAGCTTTCTTGGGTAAACAAAGGAGGGCCAGGTTTTGCAGTATCTCCCAGATGTACAAACAGTTCAAGCAAACGTCAGACACTGGCACAGTTACAAGAAACTACATTTTTTTTTTTTTTTTACACCGGTCAGCTGACCACCACTACCACCAGGCCAGACTTAATCTTCTAGGACAAGGAAGGATTACCAGGCAGTAATCTCCTACAAATGCCATCTGGGTGATAGTTTTTTCCACCCTGGATTACAGCAGAGTTCTGAAAGCCAAGCTTCCCGGCTTAGTGATCAGCTTTCTAAGTATAACTTGGTATAGAAATAAAGCTGTATTTCCATTATTACTTTATCTAAAGTAATGTCTGGCTTAGTGTAACAAAAATTTCAGTCTGTCCTCCCACCCGCCCCTCCTTTTCTTTTTCTTTCCCTTTCTTTTCCTTTTCTGGAAAGACGGGTGTTTTAGTTACATATACTGCAAAGAGAAGAATCCGCTCTGAAGGTAAAGCTCCCAGGTATTCCTGCACCTTCTCTGTTTAAGCCATGTGCCTGCAGGTGCTACAATAAACCCGTGTGCAAATTGCAGGAAAAACCTATTTCCATTTGTACAGCATGCCCTGCAGAGTGACTGGGTGTCAGCTACCTTGTAAGCAAAACGTCTTAGTCACCAAATTCGTTTTCTTTGACACAAGTCTATTAGCAGATTCCTTCTATGTTAACCAAAGTTTTTGCTCAAGTGATAGCTCTAGAACTTTCTATGAATGGCTCATCTACTATTAAAGAGGTAAACATAAAGGCAACCCTTCTCTTAGGTGGGCAACAGTCTATCACTACATAACAAAAAAAGGCAGTATCCTACCTCTGCAAATCAACCTGATAAAAATGTACTCTCCCTGGGGGCAAGGAGGTGGCTCAGTCAGTTAAGAATCTGACTCTTGATTTTGACCCAGGTCATGATCTCACAGTTCATGAGTCTGAGCCCTAGCCGGGTTCTGCTCTGACACAGAGGAGCCTGCTTGGGATTCTCCCTCTGCCCCTCCCCTGCTCATTCTCTCATTTTCTCTTTCCCTCTCTCCCTCTCTCCCTCTCTCTCTCCCGCAAAAACAAATTTAAAAAGCTTATTTTTAACAACAAAAGTCAATCCGCCTTTTTTTCCTAAAAGATAGCAAAATTTGAGCAACTATAAATGCTGTCAAGTCTATATTTAGAAATAGAATATAATGACTTCTTTATTATTATTATTCTTTGAAAAAAAAAATGAATTGTCTGGTTTCTTGAAATCCAAGGTATCTCTTACCTCAATGGGATGGGCATCATGCCCCTGGATTAGAGTGTGGTTGACGGGGGGGTCCCTGGCCCTCTCGATGTGGTTGATGAGGTCCCTGGCCCTCTCAATACTCTCTGCATTTGGCCACTAAATAACTGGTAGAAAAAACAGTTCTCCCTCTCAATACTTGCTCTTCCTCCTAGAGCCACAAGTATTACAAAGTGTTACGGGCTGAAAATTCATATGCTGAACCCCTCACTCAATGTGATGGTGGTAGGAGCTGGGACCTTTGGGAGGTGACTGGATTCAGATGAGGCCAGGAAGATGGCACCTCTGGATGGAGTGAGTGTCATTGTAAGAAGAGAGCTAGCTCTAGCTCTCTCTCACCACCGTGTGAGGACACAAGAGGACAGCATGTGGCAACCAGGAAAAGGGCTCTCACCAGGAATCTAATCAACTGGCACCTTGATCTTGAACTTCCCAGCCTCCAGAACCATGAGAAATAAATGTCTGTTGAGATAAGCCGCTCAGTCTATAATAATTTATTACAGCAGTCCAAACTAAGGCACAAGATATTTAGGCACTGACACACATACAATGCAAACCATGGCCACCTCCACACTGCTCCAAAATCCCTCCAAATGGATTTGGAGGGTGGGATCCCTCCAAAATCCCACGTCCTTGACCTTCAGTGCAGACATCCAGGTTACATCCTCTGCCTGAAATGCTGCCTTTTTTCTGCTTGCTGAAGTCATTCATCCTTCAAGACTCAGACAGAAATGCTACCTTTCCTCAGAAGCTCTCCCACTTTCTGTACCCTCCCCACCCCCCAGCACTCACTGCAACAGCAGCACACAGTGTGACAGTCCCCCTTCCCAGTCTGCCTGTGCCTCCCTGTCCTCCCCTTCAGGGGAGGCGCTGAGTTCTCTATTGTGATGCCTACCCTGAAGTGCTGGCTCTAACCAGTGTGAAATGAAGAAATCAAATAACGGCTCATGCTGACACTGGAAACCTTATTTCTAAAACATGAGGATTTAGCATTTAACTGACGTCTGAAATCTCTATCCTACCTGCTTAGGTGCCATCTTGGGGTAACATCATGTCTCTCTGAGCCAGCCGTAGCTCTCCAGTCAGATCCCAGTCAAGACATGCCAGCAGGTAAGAAAAGTGAGAATGGAAGACCAGAGGTGGGAAAAGCATGGGCTATGTGAACGGAATGGCAAAAATTCAGTTGACTCAAGATTCATGTACCAAGTAGAAGGGAGCTGTAAGATATAAAAACTGGAAATGTAGCCTGAGGACAAACCATTAAAGACCTTGAGTGACAAACTTCTATACCTAATATAGCGTGCAAAAAAAACACCCGCTGAGGGTGTCTGAGCCAGGTGGAGGGAGGATAAGAAGCTTTATAAAGATGACACCGGAAGTGGCAAATAGGACGCACTGTAAGTAGAGGCTACCGGGAGGGCGCTCTGAAGGAGTCTGCTGGCACAGCCCAAGGAAGGAAATACCAGGTAAGATGTGGTTCTGTCCTGCTGGACCTTTCCACTGGGAATTCCAGAAGTACTTCAAAATCAACAAGCCTACGACTGAATTCCCTGCTTTTCCTTCTCCTATTCCTGACTCTAAATGTGCCATCCTGACTCACCTAGGCCTGACCTCACAGGAATCGCTTCCAAGCACTCCTGCTCTATAGAAGGAAACACTACCAGGAGCTGTTCGTCCAACTCGTATTGTATGCTTTCTTCATCCTTTCCCTCTTTTCCCCCTCTCACCGACCACACCCTACTTTCAGACTGACCTAGAATGTTCTGGTAAAGACGTGCCATGACTGTCCAGGTCTGCAGTGCTGTCTATTTAAACACTCTCTTTTCCTCGAGGAATTTCATGTCTCATGCTCCCCTGCTCCCTGGGGGACGGTCTGCCATAATTCCCACCTACTCCCTGGCCTTAGGCATGGGCTTGTGCTTCAGATCTGGTCCACCCGGATACCCTGGCCCCTTGTTTACAGGGACTGCGCTAGTGGCAGACAGCTGACCCAAACAGTGCCAACTACAGGCCTTCCCTAACACTTACTCAATGAATACTGGGGGAAGTGACAATTCCTGTGACCCGAGCTGTTGGATATCTATTGGGAGGGTCAGGTTCTTCTCTCCTCCTGCCTAGAGGCAAGAGAATGAGTGCTGAGACTGGGACGAGATGACAGGAGAAAGGAAACCAGTAAGGGATGGAGCACCAGCATCTGAACCCCTTGATCCAGCTACCCTGGAATTCCCATCAAACAAGTAAATTTCTGTTCCGCTTCACTTGTAGTTAAAATTGGAAAGACTCCCACAATACCTACTTTCCAACCATTTCTCACTATTGCTCCACCGTGGATCAGCCAAACTTGATTTTCCGGTTTCTTGAAAACATCCTAAACTGGGATTAGGCAATTTTCCCAAACTGGAATGTCTTTTCTCTGGCAAATTCCTACCACTAGTCAAGCTCAGCTTAATAAGTCACATATGAGTGGTCAGCACTCAAGGGTGTTATGAACTGAATTGTGTCCCAACACACAAGTTCTATGTTCAAGCCCTATGAGTGGTGTATCACACGAGGAATATTCATTTTAGTGCTCTGTAAAATGGGGAAAAATTGGGGCACCTGGGTGGCTCAGTTGGTTGAGCGTCCGACTTTGGCTCAGGTCATGATCTCACAGTTTGTGAGTTCAAGCCCCATGTCAGGCTCTGTCCTGACAGCTCTGAGCCCAGAGCCTGCTTGGGATTCTTGTGTCTCCCTCTCTCTGTTCTTCCCCTGCACACATGCTGTCTCTCTCTCAAAAATAAATAAAGATTAAACAAAATTTAAAAAAATAAAATGGGGAAGATATAAATACAAATGCCTACTAAAATGAAGTTATTTAAATGTTAAATTTAATTCATCTAATAGGAAATTATCCAAACATTAACATGATGATGTAGAAATGTATAGATTTATAAGGAAATATATTTTTGAGACAAATCAGGATCCAAAACTGTTTGTACTGTATGATCCATAATTGTGTAAAAACTGTAGAGTAACGAACCAATCAAAAGAGAAAATGGGCAGAAGAAATCTATCCCACAACCCCAGGAAAGTGTTTATGCACTGTAGTGCCTGCAGAGGGAGCCTATGGGCAGCTCAGAACTTAATTTAGTACAGCCAGGAAAATGCATACTACAGAAGAATAACCCATTAGATGACTCATGTTATTGCAAATAGAAACAGAGTAAGTAAAAATGACTGTAAAGAATATTAAGTTTCTAACTTCCTATTAGCACTTCACTCATCCCTAATTTGAAGAGATATTTAAGGGATAGTCTGATGTAAAAGCTACATGACACATACAAAAATTTACCTAGAGGGACCTTGAAGGGCACACAGGCAATGTAATTATCCAATAATAGGGCAGGCCACTGATACTAGACATTATGG